AACTGGGTTTCTAGCACGTATAACCATAACGCCAGAAACTAAAGCGATGCTTGAAAAAATAGAAAAAAGTATCATTGTAGTGATTAATCTTTCTCTAGCTAGCGAGCCTACGGCCTTTGCTTTTTTCCGAGTATATTAGATTGCTTTGGCTTTGAGAGATCGATCATCAAAAGCTCCGTAAAAAAAAAAGAGAATTCATAATGGCTTTTAGTCCACTAGAACAATTTGCTATTATTCCATTGATTCCTTTTCATATACGAAACTTGTATCTTTCTGTTACTAATTCATCTTTGTTTATGCTACTCACTATTAGTTTAGTTTTGCTTTTATTTCATTTTGTCAAGTAGTAGGAAGTCTAGTTTTTACTCTTATATGTGGTATTCATTCTTGTTTGACTCTTGGATTGAGATCTACAGACTCTCGAAAAACTAGTTTCTTCTTTTTTACCACATTGCCTACTTTATTACCTTTAGCTCTCCCCCCCAACGTAACGGGTTCTTCGCGACGACACGACGTCCCTTCCTCAGCGCGGCGGACTTCTCTGCCAGTGGTGCGGAACAACTTCAACAATAGTGCACAATTAGCAGCGCGCGCAGCTTCACTTTGGCGTGCGATAGCAACAGGCAGAAACGCCCAGCAGGCAGTCGGGCAGCGTAGGCAAACTAGCGCAAGGTAAGTAACGGGCATGCGCGCGATATAGTGCAGCGCGTAGCAGCAGCGGCCTCAGGCGGGTAACAGTGGGCCGCGCGTGGCAGCGGGGCGTGCGCGCTAGCTGACGCGCTGTAAGTCCGCGCGCGCGCAACTAATAGGGGGAGTGGGGGCGAAGAACCAAAACGAGCGGTTGGAACAGCGGCGCGTGCAGCAGCGGGCGCGCGAAGCAATGGCGGCACACGTGGCGACTAGGTGGCGACTTTGCTTCCTCCTTGGCGCGTTCAGCAACGACACCCCTCCTCGATGGCGTCGCGATCCTTCTTCTTTTGGCAACGACGATAGCACCGATAGGGACAACGGGAACCAGCTCCGATACCAATGCAATCAAACCGGTCCTCTTCGACCTTCAGCATGCACACAAACAAATGATGATCAACTTGGCGACTTGTCGCCCACACAAAGCTCAGATATTATGAAGCCAGGAACGCAGGTCAGATATGGCAGATCTCCTTCTTAGCCCTCTTCGTCTTACGGGCACTTGCAGACCTCCTTGCACAAGACGCTCAGGCAGCCCTTCCGCATGGCTCACAGGTAGAATCCATGTTTGACTTGACGCTGGCCCTTGATTTATACTTCGGACTG